ATTAACAACACTTTTTTTTTTCTTTTACCCCACACTCCTGTAGTACTGTTATTCATTTTTCTTTTTCAGAAAGTTACATAACAAATTTTATTGTACTTGATGAAAAAGAGGAATGCGAAGCACACATCTCACATCTACACAATTTTCACCATCTAACAACAGTGAGTGGGATAAGGCTTTCATTGCTTTTGCTGGTTCTTGGTTTGAGGCACATTATAACTATATCTGTAGCTTAATATACAAGGGTAATCAATGTGTTGCACTAATATTGGTATATCTGTGTATAATGGAATGATTTCCTCTAATTTCTTGAGGTTAGCTTGTTATTGGGTCTAATTGTGCTAACAAGGCCATGGAACCCATAGATGATCAATAAAGATCTAATACCATTATTAATCTTTGAGGAGGAAAACTATTCAACTCAAAATACTTGAATCCTGAAACCTCTGTCCAAAAAGCTAGCAATTAAATTTTTGTTCATTCAAGCTTATTCTCCTAATTTCTTCAAATGTATTACTTTCCCACTTCACATCTCACCCCACATGTGCTTTACAACATGAAACTGATACAAGATGATATCAATGTTGGTATGAGAATAATTACTTGATCACACATATAAAAAAGATAGAGCATGAATACCAAAAAAAGAAAAATGTTGTATCCTGAAACTGAGAATCCGAAATATCTTTCAACCCATTAAAATTTTGAAAAGTTAAATTTAAATGAATATTTTATTGTATATCAGTTGGCAAGTATCGACTTTCTAATGATTCGGAAGAAATTTCGGCTATTTCTTTGAAAAGAAATAGCATTACTCTTACCAAAATAAGTTCTTCCAAATGTTGTCCTCACTCTGATTACCGAAAGGAAAAGTAAATAAATGCAGAAATAGCTTAAGAGTGCATTTTTATGATAAGTGTAGAACATGAGAAATAAGTCAATTAATCAAGTGAAGTAAATGCAGAAAATAAAATACACATACCTCAAGCCTTAATAAAAGACTAACTAACATACATTTTTCACTGCCTACTGAGATTCCCATAAACACATTTCTTTTCAAAGTGCTGACGTTGATTTACTCTGTTGGTTCAAAAAATGCTTGTTAACATCAAAGTTGTCACTGGTTTGTTGTTGCCTATTACTTTCAAGGCTTCATACATCCTTTGTACTTATACCGTCCTTTCGTTTTCCATAATCAATCTTTGAGTCCTACGGAGATCTAAGATACTGAATGACCAATCAAATAATTAATAAGAACAAAAGGAAAAGAAAGAAGAGGGCATGAATGAAAACATTAGACAAAGGGATCCCTTTATTTTAGGAATATGTCTAGTTAAATTTATTCTACCCAATAACTTATGTTTTATATCAGATTTTAATAATTTAACTGATAAATTAAAAGTTTTTAATATATAAATTAAGTTTGTAAATGTTTTAAAAAATTAAAAACTATTTGATATACTTTGTTTCGTTAATTCAAATCAATCTATAAAAGATTTTTATGATTATCTATCTATTTGAATTAATGAAATAAAGTATCAAATATTTTTCAAAATTTTTTAAAATTTGAAAACTTAATTCATCCATTAAAAACTTTTAATTTAACCGCTAAATCGTTAAAATTTAATGTAGAACATGAGTTATTGAGTGAAGTAAATCGAATAAGTAGATTCCTCCTTTATTTGAAATATGATTTCGTAATATGCTATGACTTGTTGCTGTTTTTCTAAATTTGAGTAATTACTTATCGCCTTTATTCTCTATTATAAATATATAAAAAAATATTTTTTTTCTTAAATAGAAACAAATTTTAATTATTTTTACCTCATTTAATGATATTCCCTTCAAAATATAATTCATTAAATGTATGAATTTTCAATTGTACTACTTTTAACATCTATAATAAGGATAACTTAATAAAAATGTTATAAAATTAGTAAAATTTAATATAAAAAACTATTTTTTAATGGGTAAAATCAGATTTGTTTTACTTATAATAGTAAAAAGAGTGAGTATTATTTATGAACCCCGACATAAAATTTTCCTTGTTCTCTATGATCCTGAACACATGAAAGCAACCTCATTAGTTTCTATTTGTGTCAGCTGATATGAGAAGTTCGGGAAATTTTGAATTGTGTAAGGCCCATGGGCTTTCTTTTATTTTTTTTAAATACTTAGAAGTGAAGATTCTAGCAGTGAAGTTTAAAAAACTTTATATGTTTAGAACAATTTTTTTTAGTGATGATACGCGAATAACAATTCACCCAAGATTTTATACAATATTAATTTTGGTGTCTATATCCTTGCCCGTCACTTATTATACTTCGAAATTTTCTCTCTTCCACTTTCTTAGTTATAAAATTTGTTGTATAATTATCATCTTTCCTTTTTTTTTTCTTTTTTAGCTTTTAAGACAGATTTAGAATAATTCATAAATAGTTGACTTTCGATCTCTACCTCGTTAAAGAAATTAGTCTTTAATTATAAGTTATTTTTGTAAAAAAAAAAATTGTAGGGACTTAAGGTAGAGGGAGTTAGTATCTGAAGATAAATTAAATGAAGAATAAATTTACCATTTTTCAAGTTAGGTATACCGATATCATTGTAGCTAGATGACTCATGCAGAGGGATGGTTTGAAATTGATGAGATGATCTGAATTCTCGTAAAAACAAAAATTAAGTGAAATTTTTTTTTGTACTTTCAACATTCTTCTTCCATTAAAATTAGATTTTTACTTTTGTATATTCACTTTTTTTTAGAAATAAATATTAGTTTTAGTTGAGCAATTAAGCTACTAAGATAAAGTTCTAATATGTGCAAAACCTTTTAAGACAGCGGTAATTACAATATCACGAAATATGACGAGTCTATGACCCAACTCAATAACTTAGGAGTACTCATAGTAAGAAAAAAAAACATAAAGTTTCAACTTTAACGAGAAAACAATGCCAAAAATATCTAAAGTGTGACACCCTCTACCTCATTATTAATATACAACAAATGTAACAATAAGATATTACTTTTCTTCTTTTTGGGTAAATAAAATTTTTCATAGTTGACAAATATTTCAAATATAACAAGGTAGAAGATTCACATTCGTAACTCATAAATCATAACTCCAGTGTAAAAATTATAAAAGAAAAGAAGTTAAGATTTTCAATACAATTTAGTGTAAAACAAGAAATCATATATATACAAATAATAATAAAGGAAATATAAATTAACTCCAGTAAAGGTGGCAGTGCCTCCTGGTTAGGAATTAATTTATACTCCCAAATCATATAATAAAATATAACAAAAATGTACATCTTGGTCTTTTATCAAGAACGTTCAAATTACAATTCTTAACATATATTTTCCTT